GCATCGCTACTAGGAGCAAGTGCCTTACTAGTAGTAACAAGAAGCTACTTACTTCTTCTCATGACTTCTCGTACTACTCGCTGTTTTCGTTGGAATCGAGCGGAGCGGAGCGGAGAGCGTGGCGGCGAAGCAAGCGGAGAACATGGAGCTGACCGGTGCAGGTGAAGTTCCGAGCTCCATGTCCTCTTGAGAAAAATAAGGCTCAAAGGGCATCGCTACTAGGAACAAGGACGCTACTAGGGGCTCCTGGCCTTACTACTAGGAACAAGAAGCTATTAGAACAGAATTAAAGTTAATCTAAATTAGAATTGAAGCAAGAAGCTACTGGGGGGGGTAGGCCACTAGTAGAAGTGAGGTAGTAGCTAGAGATAGCTAGTAGAAGCAAACGGTAGCTACTAGGTACTAGGAAGCTACTACATATGGACGCATGATAGCTGACGCTTCGCCAAGAAAGCTCCCCCCGCCGCCTGCTTCCTTGAATAAGCGATCGCACTAATGATTTGGTTACCTCCTGGCCTTACTACTAGGAACAAGAGGCTATTAGGAGCATGAAAGAGATCAGAGATGCCTTGTTCTCAGGAGTATTTAATGCCCTTGTAACTAGTAGCTTCTTGCTCCTAGTAGCGATGCCCTTGTTACTAGTAGTTTCTCACTCCCCTCTCTGCATCTGGTTGGAAGCTTTTTGTCAATGAGGTTTGGATCCAAAGTTGGCTCAACAAGTGGACAATTCTGTGCTCATTGAGGTATGCAAGGCAGTTGTTACAGTGCCCTGACAGGTTTCCAACGAAGTATTCCTTTTCAACATGGCTAGCTTTTCCGATCTACCCAAGCACCAAACGAGGGACCAACATGTTGGTTGAAGGTGCACGAGTAACAAGGGAAAGTGACAGAAGTGGACACATAAATGGTGTTTGTGCAGTGAAAAGACGGCGTTGATTGAACAAACACTGTAGTGATAGAAATGCTCGTGTTGCTCAAGGTAGAGCTATTTGGCCAATGCGGGATGCTCTGCCCGCTTACTGCTTCACAGCTTTGGATGTTTTTTTTTCAGCTGCTTGTGCCTCGATGATCACTGGGAAGAAGAAATCTTCAAGGTGTATGATGAATGGAAAGTAGAATGAAAAGTGAAACAACATGTCTAATTAAAGCATAATCAACAAACACATTGAACGTTATATGCCCGTTTTCATGAAGTATATCTCAAAACGCTTGTTCCTAATTGTCTCCGTACAAATAACACATGAGCACCGACACCATCTCCCTCATCAAGAAACTGTACTTTAAAGATTCTCGCAACTGTGACCTCACTGAAGACCGTTATTTCTTCAAACTACTACGCCAGTGCGAAAAAGGATGAGGAACAAGGACGCTACTAGGGGCTCCTGGCCTTACTAGGAACAAGAACCTACTAGGGGCTCCTGGCATCGCTACGAACGGAGCAAGGTTGGCTACTAGGGATGAGGTTGTGCCAAGCTGCGAAGTATACTGACCACAAATCTGTCCGTTTGGGATAGCTGTCAAGAAGACCTACGAGAGACGAACGGATAGCGATGCCCTTTGTTCCTAGTAGTAACAAGTGCCACGCTAGTAGTAACAGGTGCCTTACTAGTAGTAACAGAAAGCTATTAGAATTAAAAGAAAATAAATCTAAATTACTAGCTTCTTGCTACTACTAGTAAGGCACTTGTTACTAGAAGCGATGCACTTGTTCCTAGTAGCGTCCTCTTGCTCCTAGTAGTGAGGCCAGGAGCCCCTAATAGCGTCCAATCTCCTCATAGCCTAAGCACGATGGCCTCCAAACAGTTGGCAGCCTTTCCCAAACACGTCTTCGACACTTCCTGCGCCTTCCAAAATGCTGCGCCCCCGATCTGGAGAGCCGTTCCTGTCGACACGCAATCTTGATCTTGAATGCAAGTTGACACAACGCCAAAGAACCAATGATAGAAAACATCAAAGGGCCAAAGAACACACTTGTGAAATTTTTGGAGGCAATGGATCAGAATCCAAAAAGCCACCAAGTGTCTGATACTCCAGGATGGCTGCTCTTGACACCACCAATGGATGTTTTCGTCGTGGTAAGGCAGAGAGGCCTTTTGGAAGCACTTTCCGGGCACCCTCTGAGTCGCCATTCCTTCGTCCGACATTTCCAGCATTGAACACTGGAGGCCATCGCTTCTAGTAGCTAGAAGCTACTAGGGGCTCCTGGCCTTACTACTAGGAGCAAGAACGCT